AATAAATTTGTGTTTAAAGGCTCTCACTGTTGGCAATTTGTTACAGCAGCAATAGGAAACTAATGAAATGGCGTATGTAGGAAAGCCTTAAAAAACTGCAAAAATCTCTAGAATAGGTGAGATTTCAAGGCCTCAGGACAGAAGATCAACATACAAAAATCTACTGTTTCTATATACTAGCAATGAATACATTAAAATTGAATTTTAAAATACAGTATCACTTAGGATCACTCAAAAAAAGGAAAAGTAGAATATGTGTCCATCTAACAAAACACTTAGAGGATTTTTACACTGAAAACTACAGAATACTGATGATCAAATACACTCATATAAACAGAGACATACCATATCCATTTATGAAGACCAACATGAAAATAATGTGAAATTACCCCAAATACAGAGTTAATGCATTTTCTATCAAGATATTTTGTACATAGACAATATTATTCTAAAATTAATATAGAAAGACAAAAGAACTAGAACAACCAAAACACCTGAAATAATAATAAAGTGGTTGGAATCATGTTCATTGATGTCAAGACTTCAAATATAATAAAAGTAATTAAAATGGTGTGGTGTTGTGGAGTGAGAGAAGTACTCATCAGTGGAACACAAGAGAGTGCAGAAATAGCCGTCACCCATGCACTTCCACCTGACTTTTGACAAAGTTACCAAGGAAATTGAATACATGAAGAACTTTTTTTTTTTTTAAGGCACTGGACCAACTGAATATCTACAGTAGAAATAAAACTAAAGAATCTCCACACAAACTTCAGAATCATACAAATAGCTCAAAATTCGCCAGTTTAAATGTAAAACCACAAAACTTTAATCTATAAGAGATTTAGGGGGAAAAAACAGAATAAACTCTTCAGAATCAAGAACTTGAAGAATTCTTAGACAAGCAACAAAAGCACGAACCGTCACATACACGTATATTATCCCTGTGACCTATGAGTGTTACGTGTCAAGTGGGTTTGCAAATATGATCTTGCTAAGGATCCTGAAATGGGATATTATCCAAGGATATCTGGTAAAACTGATATAATCGCAAGGACATGTATAAAAAGCATGCAGGTAGAGTTAAAGTCCAACACAGAAGTTGGTGATGTGATGGTAGCACATATATATATATATATAGTCAATGAACTAAATTTTATCAAATTTAAAGTTTGGTCTATGAAAGACCTTGTTAAGATGAGGAAAGAACACGGTGTAATTTTATTCACTCTACTTGAGAAAATAAAGAGATAATACTGGAAAAAAAAAAAAAGATGATGAAAGAAGCTACTAACAGCCTACCATATATCTGACAAAGGACTGATAAGTGAAATATATAAAAAATTCTAGAATGACTTTAAAAAGAAACCCCCTAAAAAGAAAAATAATCAAATCAGGAAATGACAAAAGCATGAAGAGATATTTCACTGAAGCAGATCTAGAGGACAAACAGGCACACGAAAAGATTTACAACATCACTATCCACCAAGTGCCAGACCTCAGCATTTTTTGCTTCCTTCATCTGAACCCCCATCTGCCTTTAGAGATCGTGGAAAAGGAAAAGCTCCTACCAAACACTCCAAAATGTCTTTTGAGACATACATCAGAAATGTGTAATTATTTCTGGGAATTGGTGATGAGAACACAGGTTTTCAAAATTTGCTCTGTAAATGTACACTGTCATTGTCATTACTTTTAATTTGTAATTGCAGTTCAGTGAGACGATGCTTAAGAATCACAAACTCATACCTCAGAATCAGATGCTTCACTGAAAGATTAATCTCTTACAGGATTATGTGGTAATGAGTGTATCTCCAAATAATTTAAGTATTAATAGGCAATCTATCAAATGAAAGTATGAACACAACAGAAAGTTACCACAATCACAATGATATATAAAGATAAACCGTCTAAAAATGATAAGAAATACTAACAAAATAAGTATAAATGGTGATCACTAGCATTGTTACTGTAGCACAAAGGTTAACAGCTTTGTCTTTGCAGCCAGACAACATGAATTCAAGTCCTGATTCAGCCACTTACTGGGATGTGACTGAGTGAGTCTTTTAACCTGTTTTTGTCCTAAGTTTCCTCATCTCTGAAATGAAAATATCATCAATATTTATTTCAGAAAGCTAAAGACTTAATCAGTTATTACCCATATAGCATTAATAATAATTCTTACTATAAACGATTTATATAAGGAAAAATATATATGCAAACATAGAAATAACTTATGGAAAAATACATTATTAAGTATTTGGGGATAGGAACAAATCTAAGGGGAGTAAATGGGTTTTAGTCGCCACGGTAAAAGAAGTCATGTTTTCTTGCAAGTTCCTCTGGCTCAGAATAGGAATAGCGGCTAGTGGGAAGTGGCAGAATGGTCTCCAGGGATTCGTTAATGCACATTACCTCGTCACAAACTATAGTTAAAATACGAATACTGGGAACTATCTCCCTTGTTTATTATATGTGCATTTACCTCTCCAAATGCTAATTAACCTCCACACAAAAACAAAACATAATATTACTACAATTAAAACTGAACTGGGGGGGCCGGCCCGGTGGCACACTGCTATAGTGCGCCGCTTGGGAAGTGTGGTGGTGCTCCCGCCGAGGGTTCGGATCCCACATACAGACCGGTTCCCGCTCACTGGCTGAGTGTGGCGCGGGGGCGACGCTGAGGGTTGCGATCCCGTTGCCGGTCCCGGTCCGGTACAGGGGGCTACACTGAGGGTTGCGATCCGTTGCCGGACACGGAAAAAGACAAAAAAAAAAAAACTGAACTAGGGACTATATTGCTCAATATCATAAACTGAAAATGACATTTCCATAGCCTTTGGCAAAATGTCCTTCTAGTAAAATTACTTAATCATTAATATAATAAACTTTTTTTTTTTTTCCTTTTTGTCTTTTTCCGTGTCCGGCAATGGATCGCAACCCTCAGTGTCACCCCCGTACCGGACCGGGACCAGCAACGGGATCGCAACCCTTGGCATTGCTCCCTCTCCTCGCTCAGCCAGTGAGCGGGAACCGGTCTGTATGTGGGATCCGAACCCTCGGTGGGAGCGCCGCCGCACTTCCCAAGTGGCGCACTACAGCAGTGCGCCACCGGGCTGGCCCTAATGTAATAAACTTTTACATACATTAATTTACATTGAATTAGTATAAAATAGCTTAGGCAATTTAACTAAAACAGTATTTCACAAACATTTTCAACAATCATATTGTGTGATGGGACCTACGTGTGCAGCAGGAAAAGGAATGTCATAAGCTGTTACCAAGAATAAAACTGGAGTCTTCCCCAACCAAGAAGTCAGGAGTTTCAGGAGTAAATGTGCAGTGTTGTACTAAAGAGTCAGACCTCACGATGTCTGACTACTAACACCTTTTACAGCTCTGCAGTCCTCCTTCCCATTTTGCCCATCTGTTCGAGCTGATAATAGTACCTGTGTGCTCCCTTCTTTGGCACCAACTGGAAGTTCAAACCCCACACATAGAAACTCCCATGACGACCCTGCCCTTTAACAACCATACAATGAAGCCAGCCACTTTTCTTACACACTCGAGCCACATTTGGACCAGCTTGAGAAGTCTACCCTGCTTTCCCCAGGAAGATTGATTATGTAGTAAACATTCTCATTATACTTCAGTATATCCACACCAAACATTAAGTGGAGTTTAATTCACTTTCAGTGGAGTGGTCACAAATTCGAATTACCAGATAATGTTACAAAGGTGAATATATGAAGTTTCTAGTTTATCTACCAGAATAAAACAAAATTCTCATTCTGCATGTTCCTGAAAAGGAAATTCATGAACATTAACCTTTTCAAATTGTCACTGAAAACTCCAAGGACAAAAAAAGAGATGGTGTTATTTTTATTCTTATTCCCTACACTTTTACTTTGTAATATTTTTTATAGTCTTCCTATATTTGTATTTTCTCAGCGTGTAAATCATGATGCATGTCACAGGTCTTATTTGGCACACACAAGAGGCATGTAGAAATAGTGTATATTCATCAACAGTAATGCATGTTTTAGAGTGTAAGAGTCTGAAATTGCACTTCTAAAAAATTTTTGTTATACCCACATAAGTACCCTAAGGCAGAGTGCAGAGAGAAGTGCAAAGTATGAATATAGGCTCCCAAGTTACTGTTTGATTCCACTGAGAAGAAAAAATTGTTCCAGGTCCTTCAACCGTAAGAACCTAACGGTACATTCTTATTGTCTGTTATGAAGTATATCACTGAGATGGGATAAAACTATGTTGGTACAAAGAATGTGCTCACTCACAGTTAAGAAAAAAACATTAAATTTTATTAATTAAAACATGAGATTTATGATAATTATGAATGAAACTGTAGCAAAATGTAATGTCAGCAGTTAAGTGTGAATCCTACTCAAGAACATGCTATTCTGGTGTTTTTCATTAAACTCTCCACCCTGATAACTCTTTTCTCTTCAATTTCAAAAATAAAAATAATTTTTCATCAACCTTTGTTATATGGCAGCTATTGCCATTTGATAGAGAAAATGGCCACCATTTCCTCTGAATTACTCCTACCACATAAACATTCCCTAATAATATATCCCTCTCTTCTCATAAAAATCCCAGTCTCCTAAGGTCTTGGCCTACTGTACTTCATGTTGAGTCGGTACATTTCTTTTCTATAACTCACAGAGCCCTTCTGTCAGGAGAAAGGCAGCCTGAACACAAATACGCACAACTGACGGTTTTACATTATTTTCTGCCCCTCTTAAATGCTCTCTAATTCAAACAATATTTATTTTTTAGAAGGCAGAGTACTTCTTCCAGGAACTTGTATAGAAATGATCCTCACCCTATAAAGTAAGTGAACATTATTTTTTTTTTTTTCCTTTAATTTTTTCTCGGAGAACACAATGAAAGGCCTGTGAAGAAGGTTTAAGATTAACTATGGGTTGAAAGTCACATGAGTAAATAATACAGTAGCCTTTTGAAGAAACTTCAAATAAGTGAACAAAATATTTTATAATTTGAAAAGAATTTTAAGTTTCCAAACATCTTTGCACTTTTGATATACAAGTATATTGTGTTATAAGTTAATATATTTTAACTTCTAATTAGCCAGCAGTACATAATAACAAAGGTTAAGCTTGGAGAATGAAAGAATGAATTATTCTTCCTATAAATTCTCCTACAGATATGGAACTTGAGTAATAGCCTCAGGATGCACATCACATTTGTGTGGTTTCGTCAAAAATGTATAATTTGATGTCTAGTGAGTTGTGAGGCCTGAATTAAGCCTCTGCCATACATTACACTTAGATGATGTCTCTTCAGTATAAACTCTCTGATGTCTGTTAACGCTTTAACTCATGAGGACTCTGCTAGTCAATGCATTTGCAGATTCTCTCAAGAATTAATTCTCTGATGTTGTGCAAGGAATAAACTGTGACTGAAGACTTTGTCACACTCATTTGTAAGGTTCTTCTCCAGTATGAATTCTGTGATGACCTGAAAGGTTTGAAATTTGACTGAAGGCCTTGCCACACACTTTACATTTGTAAGGTTTCTTTCCAGTATGGATTACCTGATGGGTAGTTAGGCTTGAATGCACTCTAAAGGCTTTGCCACACTCATTACACTTGTAAGGCTTCTCTTCAGTATGAATTCTACGATGATTTGCAAGGTGTGAATTTTGAGTAAAGACTTTGCCACATTCATTGCATTTGTAAGGTTTTTCTCCTGTATGGATTGCCTGATGGGTAGTTAGGCTTGAATGCACACTAAAGGCTTTGCCACACTCATTACACTTGTAAGGCTTCTCTCCAGTATGAATTCTACGATGATTTGCAAGGTGTGAATTTTGAGTGAAGACTTTGCCACATTCACTACACTTGTAAGGTTTCTCTCCAGTATGAATTGCTTGATGGGTAGTTAGATTTGAACTAATAGTAAAGGCTTTGCCACACTCATTACACTTGTAAGGTTTCTCTCCAGTATGAATTCTACGATGACTAGCAAGGCTTGAAAGCTGACTGAAGAACTTACCACATTCATTACATTTGTAAGGTTTTTCTCCAGTATGGATTACCTGATGAGCAGTTAGGTTTGAACGAATTCTAAAGGCCTTGCCGCACTCATTACACTTATAAGGTTTTGCTCCAGTATGAATTCTCCAATGCCTCGTAAGGTGTGAATTTTGAGTGAAGACCTTGCCACATTCAATACACTTATAAGGTTTCTCACCAGTATGAGTTGCCTGATGACTTGCAAGGTATGAATTCTGAGTGAAGACTTTACCACACTCATTACATTTGTAAGGTTTTTCTCCAGTATGTATAGCCTGATGGGTAGTTAGGTTTGAACGAGCACTGAAGGCTTTCTCACACTCATTACACTTGTAAGGTTTCTCTCCAGTATGAATTCTACGATGAGTTGCAAGATGTGACTTTTGAGTGAAGACCTTGCCACATTCCCCACATTTGTAAGGTTTTTCCCCAGTATGGATTGCCCGATGGGTAGTTAAGTTTGAACTAATAGTAAAGGCTTTGCCACACTCATTACACTTATAAGGTTTCTTTCCAGTATGAATGCGCCGATGACTTGCAAGGCTTGAAGGGTGACTAAAGACCTTGCCACACTCATTACATTTGTAAGGTTTTTCTCCAGTGTGAATCGCCTGATGCATCGTTAGGTTTGAACGCACAGTAAAGGCTTTCCCACACTCAGTACACTTGTAAGGTTTCTCTCCAGTATGAACTCTCCGATGAGTTACAAGATGTGAATTTTGAGTGAAGACCTTGCCACATTCATTACATTTGTACGGTTTCTCTCCAGTATGGATTAACTGATGGGTAGTTAGGTTTGAATATGTACGAAAGGCTTTCCCACACTCATAACACTTGTAAGGTCTTTCTCCAGAATGAATTCTCTGATGAGCTGCAAGACTTGAAGGCTGAGTGAAGACCTTGCCACATTCATTACATTTATAAATTTTCCTTCCAGTATGGATTACCTGATGGGTAGTTAGATTTGAATGCAAACTAAAGGATTTCCCACACTCATGATACTTGTAAGGTTTCTCTCCAGAATGAATTCTCTGATGACTTAAAAGGCATGAAGGTTGAGTGAAGACCTTGCCACATTCATTACACTTGTAAGATTTTTCCCAACTATTTGAAGAATGTATAAAATTATCCCCATATTTTTTAGAAATGTGAGTTCTGACACTAGAACAAATTTGTTGAAGTGGTGAAATGAGAACATCATTTTTCATAGATTTCTCAACTTGATTACATTCATAAATTTTCCTTTCACATTGAAATAGCTCTTCAGGCAGAGGTGACTGAAAGCTAACTCCAAGCTGAGTTATATTAATCCTGTTTCCTGCATGCTTTCTATCATGTTTTCTTCTACCAGTGAGACTTTCTTTCTGGGTCATAGAAACTTCCTTGTAATTTCTTTCATAATCTCTCCACTGACACTCAAAGTTATGTATATTTTTCTGGTCTTCCCTGAAAGAAAAGTCTTTGATGTCATGGCTTTCATGTCTTTCCAACATCACTGTGTGTAACACTTTGGTATTGCTGTTCCCTTTTGGTGGTAATTCCTTGATTATACAATTAGGAGAGATATCTACAAGATATAAAGAACCATCATTTTCCAATTAATTACAGTACATAAATAAATATTTCACATTGAAAAACATAATATTACACCAAAAGTTACACTTATATTGAACAGACTTAATGAAACTTCAGAGCCATAAAATTCAATTTTTAGGAACACAACAGAAATAGGATTCTTTAAAAAAGAAAAGGTGAGTACATGCAATTCAAGTTAATAGTAGGGAAGCCTAGTTTCAAACAACCTATGGTCGAAGCACATTTGTCAAAGCTATGTTAGTCCTGAAAGTAGGAGGATTTTTCCACTGTGACCTCAAGGCACACACCAATTGGCAAAAAACATGGCTTTCTTATAAGTGAGGAGAAAAAACATTTATAGCTGATTTATTATGTACAAATAAATGCTAAAGAACAATATGATATAGTGTAATGGAAAATAACCTACAGAAAATTATGTGATGAATTATTAAAGAAGCACCAATTTTAAATTAGAAAGCAACAGCACCAGGAAAATAAGAACAATTTAATAAACAGTGTCATAAAAGATAATATTTTTCTAAATACCTGTTATAAAACAATCTATACCAGCACAGACCAAGTATTTTGCAACATTAAAAAGTGGCTCATGACAGTTACATTGCATAATGCATACTGGAAAACCATTATCTGTAAAATATGATGAAAATTAATTAATAAAACATTCTAGTAACCCATGATAAAATGTGCAGGCAAAGAATTAGTAATCACATTTACAAAAAGTTATGGCCTGTGGAATTGTAAATAATTTCCTCTTAAAAAAAAAGGAAAGGATTTCTACTTCAGAACCAGCACACAATACAAGAACTGGAATATGATTTTGTGAAAAATTGTATTATGTACTGACAAAGTATAATTGTATATATTTATGGGAAACAAAGTGATGTCACAATATATGTACACAGTGTAGAATAATGAAATAAAGTTTATTACCATATACATCACCTAAAAAACGTATCATTTACACCAACTATTTAATTGAAACTTTGTACTGACCAACATCTCCCTATTCCACCTACTTCCCAGCCTCTGATAACCATTATTCTACTTTCTGCTTCTAGAAATTCAATTGGTTTAAATTCCACATATAAGTGAGAACATGTAATAATTGTATTTCTGTGTTTGGCTTATTTCACTTAGAGAAATTCATCCGTGTTAAATGTTGCTTCATCCAGGTTCCGCATACTCAACTTCCTTCTTTTGAAGGAAGACTAGAATTCTATTCTGTGTATACACCACATTTTCTTTATTCATTCATCTGTGATGGAAAACAGGGTGACTACATAACTAATTAGGCTAGTGTGAATAATGTTGCAATGAACATGGAGTACAGATATCTCTTAGACAAAATGATTTCAAATCCTTTGGAGATACACCTAGAAGTGTAATTGCTGGATCATATGATAATTCTATTTTTAGTTTTTTGAAGAACCTCCATGCAGTTTTCCATAATGGCTGTACTAATTTACATTTCCACAAATGGTGTACAAGGCTTCCCTTTTCTTCACATCCTGCCCAACTCTTATCCTTTACCTTTTCGATAATAGCCATTCTTGCAGGTGTGCGATATCTCATTCCATCTATCTGTTGGCCACTTGTAAGTCATCTTTCAAAGAATGTCTATTGAGGTCCTTTGCCCATTTTTTAATCAGGTTATTTGTTTTGTTTTCATATTATTGAGTTGCTTCAGCTTCTTCTACATTTTGGATATTAACACCCAATCAGATGTTCTTAAGCAGGGCTGCTCACTCAGGAAGTATAGGCAATAATAGGTCACAGCATATACAACAAGCATAAAAAGAAATACTTCAAGGGACATACAAGCACTAAGGTGTGTGGCCAACAGTGTTACGCAGCCATTTCTCATGGATAATGATATCTGTGTCATCATCCCCTCCACATACTGATTTAAGCAGTGCCCTAAAAAGTTGTCCAGTGCATGAATAGGGGTCTTGCATTACAGTGAAAGTAGTGTCCTGTGGAAATTGGGGTGTTTAGGCATACAAAATTAATATGCTAGGAAGTAACATTATAGTCCATCCACATCAAAGTACTATGTGAGGAAAGGCCAAGATGGAAGATCAGTAAAAGCACGGCAGGGAGTAATGGAAATGTGGGAGCAAATTTTGTGCGCGCAAATCTGTGGGAATGTAACTGCAATAAGGCAGTTAAAATTCTGACACTGGAAGAAAAGAATAAGTCATTTAACAAGGAGCATAATACTGATGCAACCTTAACTACAGACATTAAATTACGGGCATGGGCAAAATGGAAGAGATTTAAAAGGGAGGTACCGTGATGAAGTGAAAACAGGTTTACATCACACAGTATTTGCACAGGCAATAAAAGTAAAAATAAATAAAATGGACTACATCAAAATTTAAAAATATTGTGCAGCAAAGGAAACAATCAACAGAGTAAAAAGAAAACCTATGGAGAGGAAGAAAATATTTGCAAAACATGTATCTGATAAAAGGTGAATTTCTAGAATATACAAAAAACTCCTACAAGTCAACAACATAAATAACCTGTTTAAAAAATGGGCAAAGGGACTGAATACATATTTTTGCAGAGATGATATACAAATGACTAATAAGCACACAAAAAGATGCAAAATATCATTAATCAAAAGAAAATACAAATAAAAATACAGTCAGATGTCACGTCACACCCATTAGGATGTGTACTCCCTAAAGGAACAAAAAATAAGCGTGGTGGTGAAGATGTAGAGAAATGGGAGGCTTTCGCCTTGTTGGTGGGAATATAAAAAGGTATGGCCACTATGAAAGATAACATGATATTTCCTCAGTTCAAAATTAAATTACCATATGAACCAACAATTTCACTTCTGAGTATATTATATCTAAAAGTACTGAAGACAAAATCTGGAAGATATATTTGTAAACTCATGTTCATTGCAGCATTATTCAAAATAGCCAAGAGGGGGAAGCAAATCAGGAATCCATCACAGATGAACAGATAAACAAAATGTGGTACACACACATACTGGAACATTATTCAGCCTTAAAACAGGTAAAAATCCTGTCATATGCCACAACATGGATGAATCTGGAGGACACTACGCTAAATGAATAAATCAGTTATAAAGAGACAAATACTGTATGATTCCATTTAAAAGAAGTATTTAAAATAGTGAAATTCACATAAACAAAAATTAGAGTGGTACTTGCCAGGGGCTAGGAAGAGAGGAAAATAGGGGGAGAAAGTGAGATTAAATGATCATGGTAATCAATTAAACCTAAATTCAAACCAAAAGAAAAATATGGTATATTTTAACTCTGCTAAGTTCATACAATATAAAATATTATAGAAGTTACTTGACAAAATAAAAAGAGGAATGTAAGGTCAGGGATAATACTACTGTATATATAAGACATATAGTTGTTAGTAGGAATGAATGAAAATTAATGTGCACTCATCCAATATTAATATTTGACTACATAAATATCACCAGGAGAACACAAGTAACCGTACAGAGAGAATATATGTAAATGACCACAGTGGGGATGGCTTGTACTGAAGGGCACTATTAGTGGCAGCAAAGTGCAGACACATTTCCTGGCAGTGGTGTGGAGACCCATGGAGGAGCTCGTCAGCAATGTAAGCAGCAAATAGAGCCAGAGAACAACAGGCCAGCACCAGGAGGTGGGTTCACAGGGAGCAGGTGAACGTTACAGAAATTCAGATGGAAAGAAAGACAGGAAACACAATAGACTGCATGTGTTAACTCATGAAGAGAATTTCCAGAATTTCAGACATTACACTACAAATATAGGTATTATAAACAACAATGGAGAAGAAGTACATGAAATGCAAGAAGTGGGCTAAGTTTCCTGTAACACACAATGAAATATTTAAAAATAAATTTAGTACACCAAGATGGACATAAACAATGTAGACAAGGAAAATCATCAGAACACAGCATTTTTTCCAAGACACAAAAACTCAGTGAAATTTAAACAAAACTGAGTAAGTTACGTTTACAAAGCTAAAAACATACTATAGAAAAAGAAATGGCCAAATAACAAATTAAGGAAAGTCAATTCAATGGTATTTCTAGAATTAAGACAGTATCTTAATAAAGCAAAATAGTGTATTCTCAAGGCATCAAAAATTCTCGATTTGAAAACTGTAATGAATTTAATTGATAAAAGTGTACTTTAATGATAGGTATTAACTCAGTTGAAACATAAGTAAAAATAATAATAGACTCTCCAAAAAGTTCTAGAATTTGTGTAGGTTTTAGAAAAAGTCCTGCTGAGCCATCCCCTCTATACTAAAGAAGGAAATATTCTAAAATATACAAATCAATAGCCATTCCCTGATAGAACAGTCCCACACACTACAGATATAAAACAAAGAATACTAAGAGCATCCTCAAAAAATGTGGAACTGTTAATTAAACTTAAAAAGCAAATTCATTTATAATTCATAAATATGTACAAGATAAAAGTAGCAGTGGCCTAAACAAATGACAGTAGAATTAAAATACAGAGATATCATTCAACTTCGTAAGCTCTCTCAAGATGTGTCAAAACCATTACTTGTTATACACTGAATGTACAACAAATTGAACAAAGGCTTGAACAGAGGTTTGTTGTTAAACAAAGGTTTAAATAATAAATAATGGCACACAAAAGGGATAAGAAATGTGGCATGAACAATAGTTCAGCCAAGCACCTCAAACATGTGACATTGTGAACTTCAACAATGTTCTCCCTAGGAGAAATTCCTACACCACTGATTGCTGGCTCAAAGAAGATGATCATTAGCGTATGTGATCAACACTGTCACAGCACCTTGAGAGAGACTTTTGTGACACTTCTCAAAAACTAGAACTGTATCTAAAAACGTTTTTCAGTCAAGCTCTCCTGATACTTTCTACCTCAGTATCCTAGGACATGTTGACAACTCTACTCAGTGGCTTCGAGGGGCATCTCTATGTGTAGCAGGATGATATTCAAACACGTTAGTCAAAGTGTTCTCCTTCATGAATTTTCTGTTACCCAGTAAACCCATTCCATAAGGGAGTGCACAAGAAGTTATCCATATCCTGAAGGTGGCTTATCACAGTAGACAAATAAGATGACATGTCAGTCCCTAGGAATGTGAATATCAAAACCAAATTTCTGAGGCCAAATCACACAAACATTAGAGAATATGAAATCAGAAAAAGCCAAGGTTTTTTACATTCACAAAGTAGTAAGAGCAGGGAGAGAGAAAAATACAACATATGGGGGTCAAATATTTTAGGATTTTGAGGTGGGACTCTGTGCTCTGCTCATAGATCCTACAGTAAGGGCCTGATCCACAAACGACAGGGGATCAAAGAGGTGACCTTTCTGTCCATTGTTTTTATGGTTCTGATGAGTAACAATCTCAAAAGATCCAATCTACTCTCCTGCCAAACACGCCCATGAAGTATGACAAAAACAGAACAGAAGAAATAACTGAGAGACCTCAGCAGGCAAAGACAGCTTGAGACAGCTCCATAAGGTTTCCTGGGCCCCAGATGCAAAGAAAAAGTAGCCAGTGTTTCTCATCTCCTAACTAGGTTTTCCAATCATATGAAACACAAGGGAATATGGGCAAGTCCAGTTGTCACAACTATAGACACTTGAGCTCTGATCTATATGGACTGAGAACTGAGCATGAGATGGAATCTAGCACAGAAAGGAGACACCATGGGGAAAAGAGATCTTTCTGAAACACCCCTCCCACTGCCACTGAGAGTCAAGGAACCAAAGAGTTCACAGAAGCTAGACAACTTGAGATACTTGAAAATTAATTTAGTATACAAAGATAAAGATTGTAGACAAGGAGAATCACTGACCATAAAAAAGACTTTAATCATGAAAAAGACTTTGCATTTGTCTCTGAGCTGCAGCACCACTGCAAGGCAAGTGAATAAACTTTTACACCTCTGTGGAACACAGTGAAAAATGGGGGAAAAGAAAAATTTTCTTTCAGAGTTCACAGGAAATAAACTGTTGTTTTCCAAGAGAAATCTCCCACTTGCAGAGTTTCCCAACACAGTTTAATGATGCGGCTTCCTCTCTGCCCATCTGAGCTCTCACCTGTATTCACACCTTTGATCCATTCTCGTCCATTTGGTTTTCTTGCTGTTGTCACTTGGCTCTCCACAGTCCAGGGTTCTTTCCCTTGCTCCAACATGGAGATAATACTCAGATCAAAACTACAGATTCCTGCTTATAAAAAGAAATAAATGTAAAATGTTGTGGCTTTTCCAGAATCCCAGCCCTGAATTTACCTGAGGACAAAGGACATTATAGATGGATCTCAAAACATATCTCAGAAATTCATCCACTGAATATTTCCTTCTAAATGCTTAGGGAACACCATAATATGCAGATATCTAGGCTTCTTGCAAGAACCACTGAATCAAAGCACAGAAATAGAAAACAGAAAATTAGATATTTTAAAAGTCTGTCATAAGGTTTTATGCATATGTAAGCTCCAGAACCACTCAATGATGTATCATAAAGGGAGCAGAGCATCTGAAAAAAGTGAAAATTAAAGGCCACATGCCACATTATGAAGCTTTTCATTTCTGAGTCAACAGGGCTTCAATCTCAGTCAAGCAATGCAGGGGCTCCCAAAACACTCAAAAAGGAAAATGTAAAGACACACAAAGGCAGATTCGGTCTTGCAAAGGGAAGTTATCCTCACCCAGGAAGACCAGATTCCTGTAGTTCTCCAACATCACGTCCCTGTACAAAGCCCTCTGAGCAAGATCCAGGCATTTCCACTCCTCCCAAGAAAATCCTATGGCCACATCCCTGAATGTCAACTGCCCCTAAAATAAAAAACACATTTCACCAAGGTGCTATGGAAAGAGTTCTAATCTTCACATAAAATAAGAAGAAAAGAGAACAGTAAGGATAGATGTGACTGAAGAGAGTCTGCTGGCATATCCATGTTGTGATATTGTGAAATTTGTTTTTTGGTCTTCATCTCCCTTTCCTACAATATAACTCACTTGGAATCTCTGGAGTGATAAGTATCTTTTTTTATTGTAATGAGATAACTGGTGGCTGAAGACCACCAGATACCCTTAGGATGGGAGCCTGGTCACTGGAAAAACCAAGGCAGAATTAGAGAGTTGGGACTTTCAGACCCACCCCTAACTTAAGCGTGAGAAGGGGCTAAAGGTTCAGTTAATCACCAGTAATGTAATCAGTCATGACCACGTAATAAAGCTTCGTAAAAAACTAAAAGGACAGGGTTCAGAGGACCTTCCAAATAAGTGAACAAGTAGCTGGAGGTCCCTAGAGGGTGGTGCACCCAGAGAGGACACAGAAGCTCTGTGCCTTTCCCCATACCTTGCCCAATGCATGGCTTCCATCTGGTTGTTCATCTATATCCTTTGTAATATCCTTTATAATGAAGGGGGAAAACATAAAGTGTTTCCCTGAGTTGAGTGAGTTGTTCTAGCAAATTAATCAAATACGAGGAAGGGGTCGTGGGAATCCACAATTTATAGCAGGTCAGTGAGAAGCACAGGCCACAACCTGTGCTTGCAACTGGCATCCAACGTGAGGGCACTCTTGTGGGACTGGGCCCTCAACCTATGAGATCTGATGCTATCTCCAGGTAGATAGTGACAGATTTAAATTAAATTTGAGGACACTCAGCTGGTGTCCCCTGCAGAACTGTTTGCTTGGTGTGTGGAGAAAAACTCCACACATCTGGGATCACAGAGCCTTCTGTGTTGTGAGAGTATAGTAGGAGAAACTGGGTCTGTTTTTCCTACATCCACACACGTTAAGGCATTTTTGAGCAAGTTACATCTCTTTAATTCTGTTTTACTATATTTTTCTACAAAAGTCTACGATATCCTCTCAGTCAATGTGGATGTCTCAGTTTTGTGGACAATACAAAAAATATATAAATAGAAAGTCAACACAGGGTTATCTTTATAAAAATATTAAATATTATGTCCAACACACCAAGTGATGTCCAGTGTCCAGATGAGCTACAGCAGGAGTGGATGTCTTCAGAGATGACAAAGTCCACGGTGGCTTTATAGAAAGAAAGGTCAGAATCTAAAAACTGTGATGATGTTAGCCACAGCAATAACTGAGGCTTCTGAACACTTCCCATGTGCTAAACACTATTCTAAATGCTTGACATGTACTTACTCATAACACCATAACAGCCCATGACGGAAAGATCTGTTCCCATTTTACTGGGGAGACAACAACTGTGTCTCAGAGGCCCTAAAAATTCTCACCTCAGGCCAGAGAGCTAAAAATGTCAAAGCAAGCACCTGAACTCATTTGTATTGGAATTAAAATTGAACCTAAAGAATCAAACAGTTAAGTAATAGACACGCATCAAAAGTAAATTGATAGTATGTTACCAAACTGAGAAAAGTTGAAACAAGTTCAAGAATAACAAAATGGAACTGCATAAAAGGTCACTATATACGCACACACACCTGGGTTCCCATAATACATTATTATTCTTACTATTAATTCATTAACGTGACAGTGTAGAGCAAATTTAAGGCCATGCAAATATTAAATACATAATTCCAATTGTTAAAAAAAACTTTTAGACTATAAAAATATTTATAGTTTAAACTATTTTAAACTATAAAACATTAGATCCAAATGAAACGTACCATTTTGTACCAATGCCCTAAGCAAGGCCTTCCAAACAAAGACAAAACAAACATGCACACTACAAAAGACAAGGCATATGTAAAAAAGATTTATTTTTCACACTAAAAAAATGTATAACCTAAAAAATGACAATAGGTCATATATAAATAATTAAACAGCAGAATATAAAATAGCTCCTAAAATTCATGGAAAGAAAAGTGTGCAAAGTATGAAAACCCATTTTATACGTACATGTTCATACAAAGTAATGAAACCTACTCAAACTCACAAATTGGAAAATGGAAATACAAAGGGTTATCATTTTCCCCAGATTCTCAATATATAAAAAGAACATAGCAGCAAGTTTTGTTTAAATGAAATCTCACATGTTGTTGGTGGGACAGGGTTCCTTTGAAGCTGGGGGCAGGAATGGAA